CATCTGTTCACACCGTGAGGTGCCTCCTTCTGCACTCATCCCAAGACTGCTGCCCCCTCAGGTTACCTGTGTCACTGCTGAGAGTCTTCACAGGGTCCTGGTCACAGGGGTTCAGATCAGGATCAGCCTGGCTATAACTCCGCTGTGAGCCTGCCCCTTCAGGACAAAAAGTGAACTATCAGGGCTCTAAGTGAACTCTAGTGGTTTACTTAAATCTTAAATTCTCCTTCTCAGTATCCTTCTAGGAAGTTCTGTCTCTAACCAATAATATCATGGCATTTCCTCAGGTCTAGAGCCATTTGATTTCCAAAATTCTATAGTCACTCTCATGTTGTCATTCCCTGTCATGGCTCATTTTCCACTCAGCTAATGATGCCAACCATGTGTCTATAGCCCATTGTCATGAAAAATGGGGAGGAGAGGGTTCCTTAGATAAATACAGGGTTAGCAAAGAAAAGTTGCAGTAACTCTTAGGAATCACTTCAGGATCCAAGAAAATTCATTCATTCCAGAGCTTCAAGAGTTTATAACTCAAAAACAACAGCAGCAATGCACTAGGTGCTGAATCTTCTTGGCCTTGTCAATAGATAACCTCAGAAATGATCAGAGAATACATTTCAAAAAGGTAAGCATGTGATTTTCACAAAAATGTAGTATTCACGTATGTCAAAAATTGTAATAAGCTGATGTATTTTGGAGACAAACAGTATGATGGTGAATAAATGTAAAAAAGCATTTTAAAAACTCAGTGCTTATACTCCACCAGGATAGGACCTGTGAAGGAAATTTTTTGTGTTGAGGATACACTGTCTTTTAGAATAATAGCAACGTAGCTATCAATTTGTGTTCTCATCTCACAATCTACAAATTAAAATCACCCCATTTATATCAAATATCTAGAAAAATAACTGTACATTTGGACATTCCCGTCTAACACCACCCATCCATCCTCTCCCAAAGTGGAATCTCTCTGCCCACGTTCTGCTCCTCTCCACACATCTGCCTGCTGACACATGGCTCCTCCCTGCCTTCCTTTCCAGTACCCCCCGCAGATTGGGCCCACGAGGGGAACAAGTTCTTGGGCTTGGGGAACAAAAGTGCATCTTGTTGGACTTCTGAGGACTTGCCCTGCCAGAGTCTCTTTCTGGATCACAATCCCTCTGTTCCCGGGAGTCCACTTTTGCTGGATCCCGTTATTCATCTCTGTGTTACTCCATCTAGGTCTACTCTGTGGACTTCTCGACATCTTCACCTGAACCCCAGGAATCTTCAAGCCATGTCAATATTTCCTCAGTTGTCCTGAGATGTCTCGTTTTCTGTTCTCCTGCGATCCCACCAAGTCATCCCTTCTGAGACCCCTGAGTACAGCAGGGGCCTCTCTGGTCTCTTTGCTTCAATTATGAATGAGGAGAATGGGAGGTCCTCTTTGCCACTCCCACCCCTGTGTTGCCATCAGGGTCAGCTTCATGAGGCAGGGATGAGGCTGTCTAGATCAACATGGCATTCCCAACATTGAGCTCTGTGCCCAGCACAAGGTAGGTGCTCAGTAACTATTTGAGAAAACCTACATTTCATCACACTGGCCTCATTATACTGAAGCCAGGATGGGGCTGAACTGGGAGAGGCAGCGGCAGAAATGTTCCTCCCTCTGCTTTCAGGCTAAGAACTCATGGGACGTCCACCAGGGAGAGCATCCCTTGGCAGAGAGGCGGCCATGGGCAGTCTTGTCCTCTATGGGAGACACCGCTCAGCCTGGGGGAAGCTCTGTTCTTGGAGGTGGGAGAAAAAGATAAACAAAATTCACCGTGAACGTCTATGCATCATCACAGAGGAGGCAGTGACAAAAAATAGAAAGTGCAAGCCCAGTTGCAATTCCTTTCTACTTTAAAAGAAATAAAATTTAATATGCCTGGTGTGTTACGTAAACACAATAAACATTTTTAAAAAATTATAAAAATATTTAAAATAACACGGCTTACAATAAATGGGAACATTTCAAATAATGACACCCATGAAATGCAATCCTAAAATACAGAATACACTTCATTTCAGTTACATGTCTTGTCTGGTTCGATTTAAATGTCTATATTAGATATCGCTATTTCTTTCTGTATTTTTGTCTGTTTGCTCCTTTGTTGCGTTTGAGATGGAGTCTTGCTCTGTCACCCAGGCTGGAGTGCAGTGGCACAATCTCAATTCATTGCAACCTGCAACTTCCAGGTTCAAGCAATTCTCCTGCCTCAGCCTCCCAAGCAGCTGGGACTACAGGCATGCACCACCATGCCTGGCTAATTTTTGTGTTTTTACTAGACATGGGGTTTCTTTTTTTCTTTTCTTTTTCTTTTTTCTTTTTCTTTCTTTTTTTTTTTTTTTTTTTTTTAGACATAGTCTCCCTCTGTTGCCAGTGGAAGTGCAGTGGTGCAATCTCGTTACACTGCAACCTCCACCTCCCGGATTCAAGCAATTGTCCTGGCTCAGCCTCCAGAGTAGCTTGGGACTACAGGCACCAGCCAACATGACCAGCTAATTATCATATTTTTAATAAAGATTCGGTTTCACCATGTTGGCCAGGATGGTCTTGATGCCTTGATCTTGTGATCTGCCCGCCTTTGCCTCCCAAAGTGCTGGGATTACAGGGGTGAGCCACTGCACCTGGCCCAAGATGGGGTTTCATCATGTTGACCAGGCTGGTCTCAAACTCCTGACCTCAAGTGATCCACTCATCTCAGCCTCCTAAAGTGCTGGGATTACAGGCGTGAGCCACCATGCCCAACCTAGTCCATTGTTTAGATGGTGCATTTAAAACCTCATGGTACTACAACTTCCAGGTGACATATACCAGAGTAAATAACATAACTATCCTGCTGTTCTCCAACCACATGGGATTCCACAAACAAAGATTTGTTGAGTCCAAGATGTATCAGGCCAGAACTCCCGCAGTCACATATACAATCTGTTTCATTTTAATGAACAGGATTATCTTTTTTCTTCAGTTTATTGTTTTTAATGTATCATATTCTAGATTTCATTACAAAGCAAAGATGAATAATTTCATCTTTACAACATGCCCAAAACACTCCTTACTGAATTTGAACTATATTATTTCCTAAACATCCTAGTTGGAATGGTTGATCCTAAAGGCTACCATGTGTCAGGCTCAGCAGCATACAGACTCCGGTCAAAACAAGTTAGCGTTTTAATTCTTCCCATCTTCAAATACTGAGCATATTTGCTTTTTTGCTCTTAAGCGAAACACTGCAAAGTCATTTGCCAGGATCTCCTGCAGACTGGCATTCAGTGATGGAGAACAGACTCCTGGGTGAGATCCCTGGGCACAGGATCCAGATGACTGTGACTGCAAGTGTGGAAAAGTAGATAGAGAACAAACATTTACCAGCATAACCCTCTGAGAATGTGCCCCGGCCATCCTGGAGGGAAGAGCTGCTGACTACCCAGCACTGCAGAATCCACAGAGGAAGGAGGGCTCTGGCCACCACGGAGGAGTGACGTGAGAGCAGAGGACCCAGTGTCCCCACAGGTGAGGAAATGAGTCCATGGGGCTGGTCAGGGCTCTCGATTTCATTCTGACATAAGAGGACTTCGGGTAATCACCACCTGAGTCCTATACAGTGAACAGCCAGGGAGCCATGGACAGATTCACCCCTGAGGAACCCAGTAGAACGTGAAGTCTGCCCTGAAGTCACGAAAAAAAGACTCAGGGGGCTGCCTGGCCTGGCCCTGATGGAGAAGGCCGTGGACAGAACAACAGGGAGGGAGGGGTGTCTCTGAGAGGCTCTGGTCACCTTGTCATACAATGGTGATGTACAATGTCGCACAATGGACACGAGGGGGCGCCAGCGTACCATTCCTGAGAGGACTGGGTGTGATGAGAGCAGGACCAGCGCCAAGTGTCCTGCTTGGTGCCCTATGCTTAGGGTTCACAGATGTGAACTCTCCACCCCTGGGACCACACGGCCCCACCCCTGCCACTCCCTGACATCTTCAGGCAGAGGAGTTTGACCCAGGGCCCAGGGTGGGATCAGAAAGCTGGAGGGTCTGATTTGCATGGATGGACCCTCCTCTCAGAGTATAAAGAGGGGCAGGGAGAGATTTGGGGAAGCTCTGCCTCAGCTGTGAGCACAGAAGGCAGGACTCGGGACAATCTTCATCATGACCTGGTCCCCTCTCCTCCTCACTCTTCTCATTCACTGCACAGGTGCCCAGACACAGGTTCGGGGGAGGGGTCCTGGAAGCCCATGAGGCCCTGCTTTCTCCTTCTCTCTCTAGACCAAGAATCACCATGTCTGTGTCTCTCCCGCTTCCAGGGTCCTGGGCCCAGTCTGTGCTGACGCAGCCGCCCTCAGTGTCTGCGGCCCCAGGGCAGAGGGTCACCATCTCCTGCTCTGGAAGCAGCTCCAACATCGGGAGAGGTTATGTATCCTGGTACCAGCAGGTCCCAGGAACAGCCCCCAAACTCCTCATCTATGACAATAATAAGCGACCCTCAGGGATTTCTGACCGATTCTCTGGCTCCAAGTCTGGTAACTCAGCCTCCCTGGCCATCACTGGACTCCAGACTGAAGATGAGGCTGATTATTACTGCGCAGCATGGGATAACAGCCTGAGTGCTCACACGGTGCTCCAGGCCAATGGGGAACTGAGACAAGAACCCCCTTCCTCCTCTGCCAGGAGGGTGAGTGCCTGCAGCTGCTGCTCACGCCTGACCTGTAGCTTCTGCTGCTGCAGCTCCCCCATGGGCCTAGGGACAGCCAGGGCCCTGCCTAGGAGTGGAAGCTCCCCCACCTTTATCCTCAGAGTCAGGGACAGGGACCCCAGGAAACAGAATATCCTGCTCCCGCAGCTTGGGACACAGGGTCTCTGTACTGATATCGTGGGCCGAGGTGGCAGGTTCAGCTGTGTCTTCACAGACCTCCCTGTACTGGCCCATGGTGGGGGGAGCGGGGGAGGAGGTGTGGGCCTTTGAGCTTCACTAGAGGCCTGAGGGTGCAGAGGTGCCCCGCAAGACCTGGACTCCTTCCCTCACCCTCCTCCCATCGCTCTCCTCACTATAGCTATGGCCAGGTGAAGGCTTAGGGCTACCCGAGGACCTTGCTCAGCCCAGGGCCTCCATCGCAGGCATTGTTTCCAAACTCTGTAAGGGCTGTCTCTGAATCTGTAGAAAACATTTATTTCTATGTGCCCAGGACAGGGTTAGAAGGCACCAACCCCACCCCTTGCAAACTCTTCCTCACCTCTCAGTGCCACAATGAGGAGAAGAAAGAGTTAGAAATCAGGAATCTACTCAGGGCTCCCCTCTCTTCTCTCTCCCAGCCACCCCCTGACTTCCTCCTTCCACAGAAATAAAGAGGAGGCAACCACAGAGGACATGGGGAGGTCCAGACGTTATACTAGACAGCAGAGCCAGGCAGTCCCTCAGAGGATGGAGGGAGGTGGTGGAGGTGTCTGGGACCAGAAAATAGTGAGGGCGCTCTTACTAAAGTGAGGAGGGGGGGTATAAACTGAGGCTCAGGTGGTGGACCAGATCTCCTGAGCCATCTACTCATTTTTTCTTGTCTTACAGTTTGGGTAAGAATAGGATTTTTAAAAAGTCTGAAGAGGTTCCTTTCCTCAGATAAAAATTTGTTGAGGATTCTTGCCCACTCAGGCATTGAAGGGAGGCTAAGCCACACTCTCAGGCCAATAGAATTGGGGGATTTCAAGGGAATTTGATTACACTGAAGTTCCCAGACTCTGCCATCTAAGACTTATGCCCTCATAACAGAGCCCAGCACTGACACCAAAATGGATGAAGGCTGATAGATAAGCCTAGAATATTCTAGCTGACACTGACTTGTGGAAAACAGAAACAAGTTAAAATATTGAAGCAATAAGGTGGCATCCCACAGTGAGGAGAAGAGAACTTGAGTGGGGGAGGGTAGAGGAGCCATTACAGGGTTGGACAAGGAGGACACAGAATCTGAGGTAAGTTTGTGAGGAAGACTCCAGATGCTTCAGAGAAGATGGACAAGGAGGTAGGGAGTGTGAAGGCTGTGGGACCAGCTCTGGTCACCAGGAGAGAGTGGTCAGATTCAGCACCAGTGTCTGGGGAGGAGGGAGTGAAGCCTGGGTGACCAGAGAGTGCAAGGCGGGCCTTAGGACCTGAGTGGGGCGCAGTGATCACACTGTTGGGGGGTCCTTCAAGTGCAAGGGGGCTCCAGGAAGACTGGAGCTCATTGTCACGATGGAAACTTAGACAACAGCTCCCCAGACTTGTTCAAAGTCATCACAGACCTTTCTCCTTTCCACATGGCAATGGGAGGAAAACATATGTCTGAAATATATAAGATGTTAGTTCTCCATAACCTCTCCTGTTCCCTGGCTGAATTCCTACTGGGAAATAAAATGACTCTCCAGTTTTACATATGACATCCTCACTACAAAAAAGTTCCAGAATGAGAAAGATCTGCCCTCCCTGACCCACTGGTGAGGAATCTCAGCCTGCAGGACCACTGGACTAAATCATTCATGCCATCTCCCATGACAGCGTCATGGTGACCAGGCAGCTTACCTTATGGATTTGGGTCACACACTGACTGTCCCCAACATTGCGGCTGTGGACACTTACATGCTGAACTCATGGCTGGGAGATCTGGGGTCCAGACATGACAGGAAAGGGAGAAAGACCAGGAGCTCTGCCTAAGTAGCCCCACTGTGTGAATCACTGCACCCTCCAGCCTCATCTTCCATTTGTCATGGGTGTTGTCTTGTGAAAACGGAAAGCTGGGTTGGGACACAAGCAAGAGAGTCTCTGACCCACAAATCTCCATCTTAGGCTCTCTGGTCTTTCTGATATTCTTTTCACAGATCAATTCCGGGCCAAGATACATCCATTCTCTGACGACTTGCCCTACCAGGGTGTCTTTCTCAATCACAGTCACTCCTTCCTGGGAATCCACTTCTCCTAGATCCTGTTATTTATCTAATGTTATTTATCTATATCTACTTGGTGGACTTCCCTACATCTTCCCCTGAACCCCACGAATCTTCAGGTCATGTCCACATTCCTTTGCTTCTCCTGTACTCCCTTCCTCCTTCTTCCCCTGTGATCACACCTAGTCGAGATCTCTTCTCAGACCCTGGAGCACAGCAGGGACTTCTCTGGTCTCTGCCCCAGGGATTAAGGGGGTGGAAGAGAGGACCCCGGTGCCCCTCCTATGCCTGTGTTTTCATCAGGGTTAGCTGCACAAGGTAGGGATTAGGCTGCCTAGATCAACATGGCATTTCCAACCCTGCGCTCTATGCTCAGCACAAGATACGTGCTCAGTAACTATCTGACAGAGACCTACCTCTTATCACATGGGCCACATTATACTGGACCCAGGGTGGGGCTGACCTGGGAGAGGTGGCCGTGGACCTGCTGCTCACTCTGCCCTCACCCTAAGAACTGATGGGGCATCCACCAGGAAGAGCATTCCTGGGCAGGGAGGGGGTCATGGGCAGTCTTGTCCTGTATGTGAGGCACGGCTCAGTGCGATCACAAGATCCAGATGACTATGACTGCAATTCTGGGGAAGTAGAGAATGAAAATTGACCAGAATAACCCTCTGGGAATATGCCCTGGGCATCCTAGAGGGAAGAGCTTCCCTTCTACTCAGCCCTGCAGGATCCACAGAGGGAGAGCTCTGGCCACCAGGGAGGAGCCACATGAGAGGATCAGGTGTCTCCACACGTGGGAAAGTGAGTCCCTCAAAGTTGGTCACTGTTATGGGTTTGATTCTGTCCTATGAGGGCAGTCACCACTTAGTCACCACCTGAGTCCTCTACGATAAACAGTTAGAGCTCCCCAGACAGATTCACTTGTGAGGAGCCCAGTAAAGTAGGAGAACTGCCCTGAGGTCACAGGGAGAAGACGCAAGCACCTCCTGGCCTGGCTCTGAGAGGGGGCAGTGGACAGAACAGCGGGGAGGCAGCAGTGTCTCTGGAGGTTCTGGTCACCTTGTCTTACAATGGTTTGTCTTGGTCTGGACACCAGGGGGCACGTGGGGACCATTATTGAGAAGAGTGGGGAGATCAGAGCAGAACCAGCCAGCTGCCCTCCCTAATGTCCTCTGCTCAGGGCTCAAAACTGTGTCCTTTACACCCCTTGATACCACATAGCCCCACCCCTGCCACCCCCTGACATCCTCAGGCATAGGGGCCTGACCCAGGGCCCAGGGTGGGATTAGAAAGCTGGGGTCTGATTTGCATGGATGGACCCTCCCACTCTCAGAGTATGAAGAGGGGCAGGGAGAGATTTGGGGAAGCTCTGCTTCAGCTGTGGGCACAGGAGGCAGCACTCAGGACAGTCTCCAGCATGGCCTGGTCTCTCCTTCTCACTCTGCTGGTTCACTGCACAGGTGACTGGATACAGGTCCAGGGGAGGGGCCCTGGGAAGCCTATTGATGATTGGTTTCTCCTGTTGTCTCTAGAAGCAGAATCATGATGCCTGTGTCTCTCCCACTTCCAGGGTCCTGGGCCCAGTCTGTGCTGACGCAGCCGCCCTCAGTGTCTGGGGCCCCCGGGCAGAGGGTCACCATCTCCTGCACTGGGAGCAGCTCCAACATCGGGGCGGGTTATTATGTATCCTGGTACCAGCAGTTCCCAGGAACGGCCCCCAAACTCCTCATCTATGAAAATAATAAGCGACCCTCAGGGGTTTCTGACCGATTCTCTGGCTCCAAGTCTGGTACCTCAGCCTCCCTGGCCATCACTGGGCTCCAGCCTGGGGATGAGGCTGATTATTACTGCGAAGCATGGGATAACAGTCTGAGTGCTCACACGGTGCTCCAGGCCAATGGGGAACTGAGACAAGAACTCCCTTCCTCCTCTGCCAGGAGGGTGAGTGCCTGCAGCTGCTGCTCACGCCTGACCTGTAGCTTCTGCTGCTGCAACTCCCCCATGGGCCTAGGGGCAGCCAGGGCCCTGCCTAGGAGTGGAGGCTCCCACACTTTTGTCCTCAGAGTCATTAACAGGGACCCCAGGAAACAGAATATCCGGCTCCTGCAGCTTGGGGCACAGGGTCTCTGCACTGAAGTCCTGAGCTGAGGTGGCAGGTCCAGCTGTGTCTTCACGGACCTTCCTGTGCCTACCCATGGTGGAAGGGGGGGAGGAGGTGTGGGCCTTTGAGCTTCACTAGAGGCCTGAGGGAGCAGAGGTGCTCCCCAAGACCTTGACTCCTTCCCTCACCCTCCTCCCATCACTCTCCTCACTGTAGCTATGGCCAGGTGAGGGCACAGGGAGACTTCAGGACCTTGCTCAGCCCAGGGCATCAGATAAAAATACTTAGAAAACGATTGCCCACTCAGGCTTTGAGGGGAGGCTGAGCCTCACTCTCAGGCCAAAACAATTGGGGGATTTCAAGGGAATTTGATTGTACTGAAGTTCCCAGACTCTGCCATCTAAGACTTATGCCCTCTTAGCAGAGCCCAGCACTGATACCAAAATGGATCAAGGCTAATAGATAAGCCTAGAATATTCTAGCTGGCACCGACTTGTGGAAAAGACAAGTAAAAAAATGGATGCAATAAGATGGCATCCTACAGCGAGGAGGGGTGAGCTTGGGTGGGGGAGGGTAGAGGAGCCATTAGAGGGTTGGACAAGGAGGACACAGGATCTGAGGTAAGTTTCTGAGGACAATTCCAGATGCTTCAGAGAAGATGAACAAGGGAGTAGGAAGTGTGACGGCCATGGGACCAGATGGGGCCACTGGGAGAGAGTGGTCAGATTCAGCACCGGTGTCTGGGGAGGAGGGACCGAAGCCTGGGGGAGGGGAGAGTGCAAGGCGGGCCTTAGGACCTGAGAGGGACGCAGTGATCACACTGCTGAGGGGTCCTTCAAGCGCAAGGGGGCTGCAGGAAGGCTGGATGTCATTGTCACAATGAAAACTTAGACAACAGCTCCCCAGCCTTGTTCAAAGTCATCACACGCCTTTCTCCTCTCCACATGGCAACAGGCAGAGGAAAACTTATCTCTGAGATATGTAAGATGTTAGTTCTCCATAACCTCTCCTGTCCCCTGACTGAATTCCTATTTGGAAACAAAATGACTCTCCAGTTTTATGTACGACATCTTCACTTTTTAGTTCCAGAATGAGAAAGATCTCCCCTCCCTGACCCACTGGTGAGGAATCTCAGCCTTCAAGACAACTGGACTATATAACTGCCATCTCCCATGACAGCATCATGGTGACCAGGGAGACTATCTGACCAGCCACACACTGCCTGTCCCTAACATTGCAGCTGAGGACCCTTACATGCTGAACCCATGGCTGGGAGATCTGGGGTCCAGACAAGACAGGAAAAGGAAAAAGACCAGGAGCTCTGCCTAAGCAGCCCCACTGTGTGAATCACTGCACCCTCCACCCTCATCTTTAGTTCATGATGGGTGTTGTCTTGTGAAAACTGACAGCTGGGCTGAGACACAGGCAAGAGTGTCTCAGTCTCAAAAAACTCCATCTTGGGCTCTCTGACTTTTCTGATATTCTTTTCACAGATCAATTCCGGGCCAAGACACATCATTCCCATCAAGGAGGCATTGATAGGAGAATCAGGCAGCCTCAGGAGAGACAAGAAGCAGATAAACACCCTCATGTTGGCCTCCTAAGTTCAGAGGAGAAACAAAGGGGAAAGAAGCTCAAGAAGCCACACTAGATGTCACTGATCACCATCACCTCAGCACCTGTCCTCCATCTAGCCCTCTTTCAAGAGAGGACCAGACTCAGGGAACAGCACCTGCACCTCCCCCTCTGTCCCTGCACTGCATAGGGAGCCTCCTTCTGCTCTCATCTCAAGGTGGCTGCTCCACGAGGTCAGCTTTGTCACTGCTGAGAGTCTTCCCTTGGTCCTGGTCCCAGGGTCTGGGGTCAACGGCAACCTGGTGTTGACTCAGCTGTGACCCTGCCCCTTCAGGACACAAAGCCAATTAAACTATTAAAGTCATAACTGAACTTCCTAGTTTACCCAAACTTTAGATTCTCCTTCTCAGTGTCCTTCTAGAAAGTGCTGTCTATATCAAATAATAACGTGTTATTTCCTCAGGTGTAGAGCCATTTGATTTCCAAAATTCTGTACTTAAACTTATGTTCTCATTTCCTGTCATGGCTCATTTTCCACTCAGCAGCTAATGATGTGAACCATGTATCTACGGCCCATTGTCACAAAAAAGAGAGATGGGAGGGTTCTTAAATAAATAGAGGGTTAGAAAAGAAGAGTTTCATTACCTCTTAGGAATTACTCCAAGAGCCAAGAAAATTAATTCCAGAGCTTCAAGAGTTTACTCCTCAAAAACAACAGCATGAATACATTAGGTAGTGAATGTTCTTGGTCTTCTCAATGAATAACCTCTGAAAGGTCCAGAGTATATGTGTCAAAAAGGTATGTGCATAACTCTCATAATAATGTAGTATTAATTTATGTCAACAATTTTAATGGGTATATATTTCTGGAAAAAAAAGCAGTATGATGGTAAAAGAAATGTAAAAAGCCTTTTAAAACCACAGTGCTTATAGTCCCCCAGGATAGCACCTGTGAAGCAAATTTTTTTTTTTTTTGCTGAAGATGCACTGTCTTTTAGAAAATAGCAAGATAGTTTAAATTTGTCTTCTTCTCTCACAACGCTCTAAAAATTAACATCATCCCATTTATATGAAATATCTAGAAATATACCCCTACATGTGGACATTCCCATCAGACATCTCCCATCCAGGCTCTCCTAAGGTGGAATCTCCTCTTTTTCTGCCCATGTTCTCCCCCTCTCCACCTCTCTCCTGCTGACACGTGGCTCTTCCCTGTCTTCCTCTCCAGTGACCCCAGCAGATCAGGGCCAACCAGTGAACAAGCTCCTGGACTTGGGGAACAAAAGTGCATCTTCTTGGATTTCTGAGGACTTGCCCTGCCACGGTGTCTTTCTCAATCACAGTCACTCCTTCTTGGGAACCCACTTCTCCTAGATCCTGTTATTTATCTAATGTTATTCATCTGTATCTACTTGGTGGATGTCCCTACATCTTCACCTGAACCCCGGAAATCTTCAGGTCATGCCCACATTTCCTTTGTTTTCCTGTACTCCCTTCTTCCTTCTTCCCCTGTGATCACACCTAGTCAAGATCTCTTCTCGGACCCTGGAGTGCAGCAGGGACTTCTCTGATCTCTGCCCCAGAGATTAAGGGAGTGGAAGGGAGGACTTCTGTGCCCCTCCTATGCCTGTGTTTTCATCAGCGCAGCTGCACAAGGTAGGGATTAGGCTGTCTAGATCAACATGGCAAATCCAACCCTGCGCTCTATGCTCCGCAAAAGATACGTGCTCATAACTATTTGACAGAAACCTTCCTCTTATCACATCAGTCCCAGGATGGGGCTGACCTGGGAGAGGTAGCTGTGGACCTGCTCCTCACGGTGCCCTCACCGAAGAGCTCATGGGGCATCCACCAGGAAGAGCATTCCTGGGCAGGGAAGGGGTCATGGGCAGCCTTGTTCTGCATGTGAGGCATGGCTCAGTGCAGTCAGAAGATCCAGATGACTATGACTGCAATTCTGGGGAAGTAAAGAGTGAAGAACCAGAATAACCCTCTGGGAATGTGCCCTGGGCATCCTAGAGGGAAGAGCTTCCCTCCTACTCAGTGCTGCAGGATCCACAGAAGAAGGAGAGCTCTGGACGCCAGGGAGGAGCCACATGAGATGAGAGGACCCGGTGGCCCTACATGTGGGAAAGTGATCCATGAAAGTTGATCCTTGCTCTGGGTTTGATTCTGTCCTATGAGGACATTGTGTAGTCACCACCTGAGTCCTCTATAATAAACAGTGAGAGCGCCGCAGACAGTTTCACTCGTGAGGAGCCCAGTAAAGTGGGAGAACTGCCCTGAGGTCACAGGGAGAAGACCTCAGGCACCACCTGGCCTGGCCCTGAGCCGGGGCATTGGACAGAACAGCGGGGAGGCAGCAGTGTCTCTGGAGGCTCTGGTCACCTTATCATACAACGGTTTGTCTTGGTCTGGACACCAGGGGGCGCTTGGGGACCATTCCTGAGAAGACTGGGGGTGATCAGAGCAGAACCAGCCACCTGCCCTGCCTGGTGTCCTCTGCTCAGGGCTCACAGCTGCATCCTCCCCACCCACTGGGACCACACAGCCCTGCCCCTGCCACCCCCTGACATCCTCAGGCATAGGGACCTGACCCAGGGCCCAGGGTGGGATTAGAAAGCTGGGGACCTGATTTGCATGGATGGACCCTCCCACTCTCAGAGTATGAAGAGGGGCAGGGAGAGATTTGGGGAAGCTCTGCTTCAGCTGTGGGCACAGGAGGCAGCACTCAGGACAGTTTCCAGCATGGCCTGGTCTCCTCTCCTCCTCACCCTTCTCATTCACTGCACAGGTGACTGGATACAGGTCCAGGGGAGGGGCCCTGGGAAGTCCATGAATGACTGATTTCATGGACTATTTTCTCCTCTTGTCTCTAGAAGCAGAATCATGATTCCTGTGTCTCTTCCACTTCCAGGGTCCTGGGCCCAGTCTGTGCTGACGCAGCCGCCCTCAGTGTCTGGGGACCCCGGACAGAGGGTCACCATCTCGTGCACTGGGAGCAGCTCCAACATTGGAGGTTATGATGTACACTGGTACCAGCAGGTCCCAGGAACAGCCCCCAAACTGCTCATCTATGACAATAATAAGCGACCCTCAGGGGTTTCTGACCGATTCTCTGGCTCCAAGTCTGGTACCTCAGGCTCCCTGACCATCACTGGACTCCAGTCTGGGGATGAGGCTGATTATTACTGCCAGTCCTATGACAGCAGCCTGAGTGCTCACACAGTGCTCCAGGCCTGGAGGGAACTGAGACAAGAACCCCCTTCCTCCTCTGCCAGGAGGGTGAGCACTCAGCTGCTGCTCACGCCTGACCTGTAGCTTCTGCTGCTGTAACTTCCCCCATGGGCCTAGGGGCAGCCAGGGCCCTGCCTAGGAGTGGAAACTCCCCGACCTTTGTCCTCAGAGTCAGGAACAGGGCCTCCAGGAAACAGAATATCCTGCTCCCGCAGTTTGAGGCACAGGGTCTCTGTACTGAAATCCTGGGCCTAGGTGGCAGGTCCACCTGTGTCTTCACAGACCCTCCTGTGCCTGCCCATGGTGTGGGGAGGGGGTGAGGAGGTGTGGGCCTTTCGCTTCACTAGAGGCCTGGGGGAACAGAGTTGCTCCCCAAGACCTGGACTCCTCCTCTCACCCTCCTCTCATTGCTCTCCTCACTGTAGCTATGGCCAGGTGAGGGCTCAAGGCTACCTGAAAACCTTGCTCAGCCCAGGGCCTCCATCGCAGGCATTGTTTCCAAACTCTGTAAGCGCTGTCTCTGAATCTGTAGAAACATTTATTTCTATGTGCCCAGGACAGGGTTAGAGGGCACCAACCCCACCCCTTGCAAACTGCTCATCACCTCTCCAAGCCCCAATGAGGAGAAGAAAGAGTCAGAAATCAGAAGCCTACCCAAGGCTCCCCTCTCTCCTCTCTCCCAGCCACCCCCTGGCTTCCTCCTTCCACAGAAATAAAGAGGAGGCAGCCACAGAGGGCAAGGAGAGGCCCAGGCATTATACTAGGCAGCAGAGCGAGGCATTCTTCCCAGATGATGGTGGGAGGTGATGGAGGTGTCTGAGACCACAAAATAGTCAGGACCTACCGGGCGCGGTGGCTCACTTGTGTAATCCCAGCCCTTTGGGAGGCCTAGGCAGTCGGATCACGAGGTCAAGAGATCAAGACCATCCCGGCTAACACGGTGGAACCCCACCTCCACTAAAAATACAAAAAATTAGCTGGGCATGGTGGCGGGCGCCTGTAGTTCCAGCTACTCGGGAAGCTGAGGCAGGAGAATGGCGTGAACATGGAAGGCAGAGATCGCGCCACTGCACTCCAGCCTGGGCAACAGTGCGAGACCCCACCCCACCCCAAAAAAATGAGGACCCTCTTACTAAAGTGAGGAGGGGTGGCATAAACTGAAGCTCAGATGGTGGACCAGATTCCGGAGCCATCTACTCATTTTTTCTTGTGTTCCAGTTTGGGTAAGAATAGGATAAAATACAGCCTTTGAAGAGGTTCCTTACCTCAGATAAGAATTCTTAGAGGATTCTTGCCCACTCGTGCATTGAGGGGAGACTGAGCCTCACTCTCAGGCCAAAAGAACTGGGAGCTTTCAAGGGAATTTGATTGTACTGAAGCTCCCAGACTCTGACATTTAAGACTTATGCCCTCATGGCAGAGCCCAGTCCTGACACCAAAATGGATGAAAGCTGATAGATAAGCCTAGAATATTCTAGCTGACACCGACTTGTGGAAAACAGAATCAAGTTAAAATATTGAAGTGATAAGGTGGCATCACACAGTGAGGAGAATAGAGCTTGGGTGGGGGAGGGTAGAGGAGCCATTACAGGGTTGGACAAGGAGGACACAGAATCTGAGGTAAGTTTGTGAGGAAAACTCCAGATGCTTCCGAGAAGATGGACAAGGAGGTAGGGAGTGTGAAGGCCGTGGGAACAGCTCTGGTCACCGGGAGAGAGTGGTCAGATTCAGCACTGGTGTCTGGGGAGGAAGGACTGAAGCCTGGGGGAGGGGAGAGTGCAAGGCGGGCCTTAGGACCTGAGTGGGGCGCAGTGATCACACTGCTGGGGGGTCCTTCAAGGGCAAGGGGGCTGCAGGAAGACTGGAGCTCATTGTCACGATGGAAACTTAGACAACAGCTCCCCAGCCTTGTTCAAAGTCATCACAGGCCTTTCTCCTCTCCACATGGCAACAGGAAGAGGAAAACTTATCTCTGAGATATGTAAGATGTTAGTTCTCCATAACTTCTCCTGTCCCCTGACTGAATTCCTATTTGGAAAAAAATGACTCTCCAGTTTTACATATGACATCCTCACTACAAAAAAGTTCCAGAATGAGAAAGATCTGCCCTCCCTGACCCACTGGTGAGGAATCTCAGCCTTCAAGACAACCGGACTAAATCATTCATGCCATCTCCCATGACAGCTTCATGGCGACCAGGCAGCTTATCTTATGGGTTTGGGCCACACACTGCCTGTCCCTAACATTGCAGCTGGGGACACTTACATGCTGAACTCATGGCTGGGAGATCTGGGGTCCAGACATGACAGAAAAAGGAAAAAGACCAGGATCTCTGCCTAAGTAGCCCCACTGTGTGAATCACTGCACCCTCCACCCTCATCTTCAGTTCGTGATGGGTGTTGTCTTGTGAAAACTGACAGCTGGGCAGAGACATAAGCAAGAGAGTCTCTGACCCACAAATCTCCATCTTGGGCTCTCTGACCTTTCTAATATTCTTTTCACAGATCAATTCCGGGCCAAGACACATCCATACTCATCAAGGAGGCATTGATAGGAGAATCAGGCAGTCTCAGGAGAGACAAGAAGCAGATAAACACCCTCATGTTGGCCTCCTAAGCTCAGAGGAGAAAAAAGAAAGGGAAAGAAGTTCAAGAAGCCACACTAGAAGCCACTGATCACCATCACCTCAGCACCTGTCCTCCATCTGCCCCTCTTTCAAGTGAGGACCAGACTCAAGGGACAGCACCTGCACGTCCCTCTCTGTCCACACACTGCACAGGGAGCCTCCTTCTGCTCTTATCTCAAGGCGCTGCTCCACCAGGTCAACCATGTCACTGCTGAGAGTCTTCTCTCAGTCCTGGTCCCAGGGTCTGGGATCAGCAGCAACCTGGCTTTGACTCTGCGGTGACCCTGCCCCTTCAGGGCACAAAGCCAACTATTAAAGCCATAACTGAACTCTCCTAGTTTACACAAACCTTAGATTCTCCTTCTCAGTGTCCTTCTAGAAAGTGCTGTCTCTATTAAGTCATTTCATGTTATTTTCTCAGGTCTAGAGCTATTTGATTTCCAAAATTCTATATTCACACTTCTGTTCTCATTCCCTGTCATGGCTCATTCCCACTCAGCAGCTAATGATGCCAACCATGTATCTACAGCCCATTGTCACAAAAAAGAGAGATGGGGCCGGGCGCGGTGGCTCAAGCCTGTAATCCTAGCACTTTGAGAGGCCGAGACGGGCGGATCACGAGGTCAGGAGATCGAGACCATCCTGGCTAACCCGGTGAAACCCCGTCTCTACTAAAAAATACAAAAAACACTAGGCCGGGCGAGGTGCGGGCGTCCCTGTCATCCCAGCTACTCGGGAGGCTGAGGCAGTGAGAATGGCATAAACCCGGGGAGGCGGTAGCTTGGCAGTTGAGCTGAGATCCGGCCCACTGCACTCCGGCCTGGGCGACAGAGCGAGACATCCGTTCGTCAAAAAAAAAAAAAAAAAGAGATTTGATGGCAGGGGTTTCTTAAATAAATAAGAGGGTTAGCAGAAAAGTTTCACTACCTCTTTAGAGTTACTCCAAGATCTAAGAAATATTAATTCACAGAGCTCAAGATTTTACTCCTCAGAAAAAACAGCGTGAAATACTTTTAGGTAGTGAATGTTCTTGGTGTTCTCAATGGAAATAACCTCTGAAGGGTCCAGAGTATATGTTTCAAAAGTTAGTGCATACTTTCACAAGAATGTAGTTATTAAGCCGGGCGGCGGGCTCAAGGCCTGTAATCCCAGACGTTTTGAGAGGGCCGAGACGGGGATCACAGTCAGGAGATCGAGACCATCCTGGCTACCCGGTGGAAACCCCGTCTCTACTAAAAAATACAAAAAACTAGCCGGTGGCGAAGTGGCGGGCGGCCTGTGGTCCCAGCTACTCGGGAGCGGAGGCGGAGAATGGCGTGAAACCCGGGCAGGCGAGCTTTGCAGTGAGCTGAGATCCGGCCACGCACTCCAGCCTGGCACAGAAGCCAGATCAAGTCTCAAAAAAAAAAAAAAAAGAATGGTAGTATTAACCTATGTCAACAATTTTAATTGTATATATATATTTCTGAAAAAAAAGCAGTATGATGGTAAAAGAAATGTAAAAAAGCTTTAAAAACGACAAGTGGCTTAATAGTCCACAGGAGAGCACCTGTGGAAGGAAATTTTTTTGGCTGAAAGATGCACTGTCTTTTAGAAAATTAGCAAATGAGGGGGGATAGGTTGGAATTTGTCTTCTTCTCTCACAGCAATCTGAAATTACATGATCCCATTTTATATGAAATAATCCAGAAACATTATTGTACATGTGGACCTTCCCATCGCACACCCCTCCCTTTCCAGGCTCTCCCAGTGGAGTCCCTCTTTTTTCTGCCCCATGTTTTCCCCTTCTCCATGACTCTCCTACTGACATGTGGCCTC